CAGTAATTAATTTCTCATACAAACTCATTACAGATCTATTAAAGTTTTACATGCTGTTATATCTCTGTTGCTTTTTAATCATTTTAAATTAATTTATCAATTATTTTAACCGCATAAAAATAATACATTTTTTAAATGATACCGTTGTGGTTAAGCTTCAAAATTAATTATTGAATGAACTGAATATCAGATATATATGCTTAAAATTTTTAAAGTTAGGTATGATATGTATTATTTTTTTTATTATTATTAAAGAGTAGACGTGAAAATTGCCCAACAGCCGGTACTGCGGCCAGAAGAGACCTATTGTACCAGTTTCACTATTGATTAAACAAAGCCCCTCATAGCTTTGTGAATAAAGTCTAGAACTAAATCTAGAGAAGAGTTCTTAATCTGTTCTGGTGACAGAAATTCTTTATGAAACAGATTTCTTCTGTGCGTTATGAAAGCTGGACAGTCACAAAGAATGTGCATGGTTGTTTCCTCATCTTCGAGGCATAATCTGCATTCCGAGTTAGCAGATAATTGTAGTTTATGAAGGTGATATTTCAGACCATAATGACCTGTAATGAAACCCGTTAGGTATGATATGTTATATTGAGTTATGATATGTAATGCCATTAAATTAAATTTAAACTCAGTATGATATGTAATATTGAGTTAAAATTGAATTTAATGACATTTAAAAATTATTATAATACACTACATACTCGAAACTCAACCGAAAACGTCAGATTTATGAAAATTATAATAGCATTTACAATTCTCCGGAACTTACCTAAAACATAACCCAAATATTAGACTGAATTTTAAAGTACACATTTTTTATTAGATATTGATACTAAACATCTAATATTACTATGTTTGGGGAGTTCTCAACTGCGACCTAGAGATCTATTGAGCACTAATACTAATATATAGTGATAATTGTTTTTACTATTAAAAAAAAACATTATTTATTAGAATTGGTAATGACTACTTATAACATGGAACTTTTGATCGCCCAAAAATTAGTCTAACTAATATGTTTAGCTTATCAAGCAAAAAACTATTAGCAAGAATGTGATTGTAATTTTGGAAACTAATAATTTTGGTAAATTTATTTGCCCAAAGCCGTGTAAATTTACAAAAGAAATTTTTTTTATTTCACATGAATTCAGTCTAACATATTTCGATATCAGGATAACATTTATCTTAAAAGTAGTAGCCCAAATGATCAGGACAATTCCCCATTTCTGGGTTTTAAATTTATTTTTTATTTGGTTATTTATATTCTTCACAATCTTTTTATCTATACAATACCACACATTGTATAGTAGCCATATAATCTATTCTGAGTGCAGTATACTAAATCAAATTTATGATCAATTTTCCGCAGGAAAAAAGGTAAAATACTTTTAAGATAAATATTTGGCAAATAATTCAACAAAATTTTATATACTACAACATATCATATAATTATATTATATATATCATAAACTACATATATCATATGACACAATAACCCACATATTATAGTAATAATAAATAAAAAAATATTCAATAAAGATATTTATTTTTTATTTAAGTTAGACTGGGATGGATGCTATACTCCATTTAAATCTACTTTTCTCATTAAAGAATTTATGCTGTAATTAGTTTCAATCTTATCAGGTTAACTGCAACAGAATAATTGTATTTTAGAATTGACCTTGCTTTAAAAATTCTCTCTCAAAAGCCGAATATGCATATAAATAAAGAGTTCACCTCAATTGATTTAATATCTCACATTATTTTATCTTACAATTATGTATTAAAATATAATCCACTCACAATAAATTGTGTAATATTATTTAAAGCCAAATTTATTTAAAAGCGCTGCAATATATCTTAAATGTGCTATGTACAAGCATTATTTATGAAATGAATTTATGGGTATTTTGTTTTTCAAAATTATTTTGTATAAGTTACTTTTTGGTATTAAGTTTAAATTAATTCAATCATGTCCGTCTCAGATAAAATAGTTTATAGTGATATATTGAAATGCTTATTTAAATAAGAGTTAATAATTTAGAATTGCAATATTTCAGTCAAAATAAAGAAACATCATCAAGTTCAAAAATTATCTCTGAATATATATGAGTAAAAAATAAATTTTTAGAATTCTGAAATATGTGTGAAATATATCGTCATTGGTCTTCAGGATTATTAGAAAGAATATATATTTCTTTTTATAATGATTTTCTGTACAATTTATAAATGTTTTATTTTAGCATAAAAGTTGAAAAATTTTCTAGAACTATAGTCTATTCAAGGCAGCTCTTTTGAAGAAAAAATAATTATTATTTAAAATATAAAAAATATTAAAAATCTTTATTTTTCTTTTGTGAGGCGCATAGTATTTACCTTAAATTATATACATTTTGGAACAATATACGTTCTCGGCAATCACAGCCTCTCAGTATAGGCAGTATCTCTAAAACTACAACTGTCTCAAACTTCATAAAAAAACGTTGATAATTTTCTGAATGGACTTTTCAACAAAAATTGAGTATATTCAGTTGAGTATATTCAATTATATTCAGCAATTATAAAAGCACCTAATTACATCCTAAAATAGTCTTGATACTTCTTGATACAACACAATAATTAATTTATCCAAAGGCAATAAGATACTTGATGATAACTATATATTCACTATATGTCTATAGATCTATAAGCCTTTTAGCAGATTTGATAAAGACTTTTGATCTATCGCAAGTAATAAAAGATGCTAAATGTATTTCGATTAATGCATTATCAGAACTATCAGTTCTTTATCATTGAAAACGAAAATACAGTTTTTGCAACAATGATCTAGTAAATAAATCCAATTGTTGTCACTACACTCAATAATTTTTACCAATGGTTATTGGAAAGCTATATAAATTTATATAATTTTACTACCAAAACTTCAGTCAATAGCAGTCAATAGTGTTAAATCATTCAATAATTGTATTTAGTGAATTCAGAATATTATATTAAATCTAAAAGACCGAAGAGGTCAAGAAGAATTTCATACTAAAATGCATGACGAATCAGAAAATTACTGACTTTTTTAAAAAAGGTTCTCTATATTAACAGCATGAAAAATTTATTTCGAAATATTGGACAACTGGCTATCATCCGTCCATAAATTTGGACATATCAACTGATGTGTCCTGATGTTTATTTTGTGATGTGTATCCTGAATAAGAAATGAAGTGAACACAACGGATGTCTTGAGTATCACGCCGGTATCAATCAACCGGATTTTATAGTCTATGTATTCTGACGATTAGCGGAAATAGCGATAAAAGTTAGGTATTGACGGGACTTGTAATTTAAAAACTTCTAAATGAATGTAAAGGTCAGGCGCAGAATTAAATATTCATTAATTTATATAAGATAGATTAATACTCTTCTTAAATGTGCATTACTTGTCTTCTTCATCTTGGATAAAATTTATTTGCTGCTCAATATTCAACATAGATTAATATTCTTCTTAATTGTGCAAGATCTGACTTATTTAGTTTGAGTAAAATTTGTTTGCTCTTAGAATACATGAAACAATACAAATTCATGAAAAATTCTTAAAAGATCAAGATAGTTTTAAACAACTGAGGTTAGTACATCAAACCCCTTGTTTCCTGCAATTTTTCGTAGATTTTTAGCAAGCCAAAGCAGTCTAAGACTTTACAACAAAAGTGACCTTTCTAAGAAAAGTATTTAAAAGTTTTGTGATATGAATGTTGAACTATTTGAATACATTCCCAATAAATGTTCTATACTGAGTAGTAACAGATTTATTTATCTTATAAATAGACTTTTTGCCTTCTTACAATATATAAATCACTACAAAAACAACTTCTAACACTATCAACTATAGTGTCACTAGTATACAATATGTTTAATATCAGCTAACACCATTAAAACTAGCACAATAGCCCAGTTGTGTTTTAATGTATACCAATGGTATATCCTATTAAAACTTATTACTACAAACCTTTGGGAAAATCGTTTTTGATCTATGGTATATTCCTAAGGGGTGCGCTGATTTAAAATCTCATTTGTGTTTTTTCGAGTCATCCATTCTCTACTCAATAGTGATAATAAGTACCTATTGCATATATCTTACTCGTTATATATATTATATTATACTTTTAGCTTAATATTTTTGTTCTGTTTATGTGCCACACTATAACTTGTTGACACCGATTACCTTGGTTTTAATTAATTGCGGATATTGGGAACATTCTTTATATGTGAGTTGACTTTTCATAAGATGAAATCATGATGGTAGATATATATAGTATATATTGTGTTGCAAAATAAAAATATGTAAGAGGATAAATTGAAAAATGGAACTTTTATGCATTGAAAGTGTGTAAGAGAAATGACTTGCTTTCAACTAATGACAATTATAATTGTTGCAAAAACTTTTTCCCCCTCTTGTTACCTTGGCATAAATATGTGCAATTATTAGAAATCATTTTTTTGTGCATTCGTGCATAAATGCAAGTGCAACTCATAAGCAACCAGCGCAGTTAGAAAATTCTTGAAAAATTTCTTTTATAAAATTTTCTTTACCACTTTAAAGTTTTCAAAACTTTTTGCAACATTAATAATTATTTACTAAATTCAATAGAAAAATTAAAACAAATAAAAAACTTTTCTTTTGAGACACCAACAAAGATCATTCGCATTCAATACGCATGCTCGAGTTAAATGATACGGAATCAGTTGCAATATATACCGTAGAAGATAGAACTTTTACAGTCAATAGTCAAACTGCAATTAAATTGCATTAATTCAAAAAGTGAATTCTTAATAGTTAGAATTATATGAGCAGCTCAGTGTAATGAGCGCAGCACTACAATTACCTATACAGAATATAGTTGCTCTTAGAAAAAGTTTATTAATTGAAAATTATTTGAATAAAATTTTAATAGAACTCACGAATTCTGAAAATCATATTAAAAGATGTACAAACCGTGCAAGTAGCTCAGTTCAAAGTGAACAGCTTAAGTGTGCAGTTTTTCAGCACAGATCCGAAGTGCAATTGCAGTTCTAAATAAAAATTTTAATTATTTCAACGTATAAAAATAATTGCATTCTTGAAACTATGGAGCGCTGGTTAAAATCTGTTGCCGTAGTCACTGGTGCCAGTTCTGGAATAGGTGCTGCCATTGCTAAAGACTTGGCAAATGCAGGATTAATTGTTGTTGCCTTGGCTCGTCGCATTGAACGTGTAGAGGAAATACGTGCCGAATTATCACCAAAAGTGCAACCGAATTTTTATGCTATCAAGTGCGATGTTACAGATCGTAACGCTGTCAATGAAACTTTTGATTGGATTGAAGAGAATTTAGGTGGGATTGATATATTGATAAATAATGCTGGCACACTTTTCACTGGTCAAATTGTGACTGCTGATATCGATAAAATGCAGAATGTCCTGCAAACCAATATAATGGGTGTTGTTTTATGTACTCAACGTGCTTTTAAATCGATGAAAGCTCGCAAAGTTGATGGGCATATTGTTAATATTAATAGCATCACTGGGCATTATATACCCAGTCTAGCAGAACCGCTTATGATGAACATTTATCCAGCATCAAAGTACGCCATAACAGCAATCAATGAAATCGTGCGTCAAGAAGTTCGTGATTTGGGTACAAGAATAAAAATTACTGTAAGTTTTTGTTAAGAATTAGATATAAGTCGGGTGGTAATGTTAATAGAATACTTTCGCGAAGTCTTATGTACTTTTAAGTCTATAATATACTTTCAGCCCCGTCTTTTAAGTTGATCAGTTCAAGATACATTTTTCATTCGTGTATGTAAAAAGTCCGATTATGCAGTTTTATTATATATTTTGGATTTAGTTTGCACTACTGGTTCAGTAAATATAGCCAGCCATATAATATTTTGGGTATAATAATATTCGGTCATTGTAAACCGAATGAAAAATTTTTATTATTCCAATCCAAAGAATGTTTTGGTTAAAAAGCATTGTTAATATTGCAGTTAAAAAATATATAGTCCATATCGGGGGTTTATATAGATTCACAGGATTCGTAATGTAGTTAAATTAATTTTATAATTTTTATAATTATATCAACCAATTCTATATATCGTTCTTTATAATTTTTATTATGGAACCATTGTGTTATTGCATTACGTTTGTTCTTTTATTATATTTTTTCTTAAATATTAAGAATATACATAATAAGTGAAACATACTATAATAATACATGGTAATATAATATAATTATATATAATAAAAATAATATAAAAATAATTACATTATTATAATAACATAGAGTAGTATAGTATGTTGAGCTTCAAATCAGTTTCCCTTTACTGATAATAAGTACAGTACAAATGATATATTGGATCATTGTTTATATATATGTCTCTTTTATAGACAAAGTTCTTTTTATGAAGAATAAAAGGGTCATTTTAATTGATTTGCTTTCAATAGCTTTTCTCAACTAGTGAACATTTTTTGTCAAATGAATGCTAAGCGCTAGGGATAAGACTCAACATATAGATTATGAAGTTTCTCTTAATTTGTATACAATGATAGCTGAGTCGAAGTGTTTTTTTTTTAGATTGACGTACTGTCTAGCATAACGTCTATAAATATAATAAATGCCATTATTTGTAGAAAATCCCAATAGAGTAAATATAATTGTATGTAAATGGGGTTCGAGAATTGTAAGTCCATGCTTATACGTAGAACAGTACTTTGCAACTATAAATTGATTCTCAATGTAGATAACTGCGACAAACTTTGAATATTTTTTTTTTTGCTTAATTCTTAAGTTCTCAGAGAATTTCTATATATATTATTATAATGCTTGACATAAAGTAACAAATGACAAAATAAATCGAAAAACTCAGAATTTGAGAATATACCAAAAACTATATTTAAAGTTCATAGCAATAATCAATATAGGAAACCACTTTTCGATTGCAAAGTACTCTTATATTTGCATTCTAGAGACTATAACTATTACTGCTATTCGTTATTAACAGTATAGGAGAATAGCATTATGTTATTCAATAGTTTGGTGGTTTTTAAATTTTATGCTATCTAATTTCTGAAATGATTGGGTTTCATATTACTTTTTTTAAAAAAAATATTTATACAGAGCATCAGTCCCGGTTTGGTTGATACTGAAATATTGCCATCATCTCTAAAAAACCTGACCATGCTAAGATCAGAGGACATATCAAATGCGGTTCTGTTTGCCTTATCAACACCACCACATGTGCAGATACACGAGTTGACCATCAAGCCTGTCGGTGAACTCTTCTAAGATTTGTGCTATTTAATAAATAATTGATTTATATCTTTTGCACTATTTATTAGAAACAAAGTTTGTTATAAACCACAACGTATACATTTTCGGTAGTATAGTATGTTGAACTTTATATTAGTTTCTCAATGTTGTTAATAAATGCAATGAAACAATAAAATATTTTTTATTTTTCATCCATATTCTTAACATTCGTATATATTTATTTATAAGATTACATTGAGTATCTCAACCAAATTTAAGCACGAACAAACCTAATAAATTTTTAGTTATTTATATCTATACATTTACATATATATGTCACTGATTTTAATAGATGTTATTAAGTTTCAATTGAGCTTCTCATATAATTAATTGAATGCTACAGTAATGTTTGTATGGCTTCATTCTAAATCTCTCGACTAAACGATTTTACGTTTTCTGCTTAAATTTAAAATTTTTTAAATATAATTGTTTTATAATAAGGTTTGAGTAAAAAGTTTTGTTTAAAAAAACAAAACATTATATTAAGAGCATTTAATCTCATATTATTTATATTAAAAAAAAATTAATTATAATTATACTTGCTGATTATGTATGTAATTATTTTGACAGAGTAGAAATTCTACCGCAAAAAATTCAGGTAAGGGGCTTGTTATATAGTCAAAATTATGTCAACTGTGAAACTGAAATTTGATTCGAATTTTAATAGAAAATTTAACATTGAAAGAAACTTTTTTACTTTGTATATGGTGACGAGGCATTCTGTTAGAATTACAATTGGAATTTAGAATTAATATTAAAATTTGCCTTATTTATAAGCAAAAACACAACTTTCAGTTTCTATACCAATTTTATTACAATTCTGGTCATTACCGTAGGAGTATGTTATACATACAGTCAATTCACAATTATCAATTCCATGCTATTATCATCTATCTCACATATCCTCACAAAAAAGAATTACATTTTAAATGTAGTAGTAAAAAAAAGCATTAAAATAGTGAACTGTGAATTGGCTGAATGCATAATATGACTTCGTATTCTCGACCAAGAGGCGCGTAAAACTGGTCCGATCTGGAAAAGAAATTTTAAAATTTCTGCATTAAAGGTACTGCATTAAATCTTCATTATTATGTATGCATTGAGGCATAAATGCTTCATCGCAAGATATTGTAATTACTTTCTATATCTTTCTTTTGCTAAACACAAATATATAAGAGCCATGTTATGTAGAGTGTCATGGGAATATCCAAATTGGCTCTTTTGGGATAAGACGAAAATACATGTAACGCAGAGTGACGTGGATATTATAATAATTTGCTTAAAGACAGAAATGTTGATATTTACTACTCAATAACACGGCTTTGCCTAAATGACGAGGTATAGATAGCCTCAACTCTCATGATAAAATTTGAACGTACATATTAATTTTTCTCTCACTTTCAATTTTATAATTTGCATTGAAAATAACAACAATTTTGATTTTGTCAAACCTATGACACTCTATATAACATGACCCTACGTGTGTTACTCTGTTATTCACTTTGTAGTTCCGACAATAAGCCATATCGTATAAATTGCTATAAGACTTAGTCTACCCCATAATGACTTTTGTAATAGCTGTCGCTCTGCATCTTACCTGTCAGTATCCAGCTTTTGCCAGTATTAGACTCAATATCTTTGTGTTTCCTTTTTTAAACGACCTGACAAAGATATCACCCGTCAAAATTTGTGATATAGTCAAGTCTATTCAATTGTCACGTTGGTATATTTATACATAAATGGTGGAGTCATATCTTTTTCGGCGTTACTTATGCGCAGACTTTATTGGTTCATTATTTGTGTTCAAGCAGGTTCTAATTTGTACGGCCGTTACTACAACTTAACCTATCCTAATCCTTTAAGCATATATCACTGAACCATTATTACTAAGTCAGTGCCACGAAATAGACAACTTTTACATGTATTAAGAAATTTTGACACTGCGACAAATGGGTATACGATGGGTATACGTTTTTGATAATCAATTCAAATTCGATTCTTTAATATTATTTTACCTCTATTAAATACTAATGATGATGACTTGTGTGTAACTTTTACTTACTTGAAACGTATTTTCCCAGTTTTAATTTGTCGTGGAACTGCCCATTTCAGTGACTGCCCATTCAGTTGTTTACAAAAAGTATATAAAGAAGAGTTAAAACTTGAAACTTCAGAAAATAAGGATTTCAGCCCAGCTGAGATTAGCAACTTCATATAATTTGAAGATAAAGAGAAAGACTTAGTCATAGTCCTAGTTTAATTTATGATTGGTGACGGACGTTAAAAGGTTTTCCGAGACCAACATTTTTAATATGAAAAATACACAGCAATGACACGTAAAACTACTGTCGTTACCAAGTAAACTATCGTTACCAATAATATTAATTTCAAGCTTACATATATTTGTAAGCTTAAAACTGTACCAAGAATAAACTGTAAAATCTACTATTCTTGGTTGCATTCCTAATAATGCACTGTAACCACTAACCATGACTATATGAAAACTGTTTATTGAGAGAATATTTCCCAAAGTAACAAAAGTACTGAATGACTTCTTAAGATTTCGCAAAACATACTTCTCTTACATTACCTTTATAGTTTAAAACAGTATTTTTAAAAAGTTATCGAAATATTAAATCAAAAATCCTAAAACATTTAGAACCATTTATGGTAAATCTCAGAAGATTTTAACTGAGAAAATTACTTAGTTAAAAGCTGAGCTGCGAACTAGAACTGAACCATTAGTCGAAAACCGAATAATTCAGGTAAAAAAAAATTCCAATCTCAAAAGCTATATTTAAGAGCAATTTTATCTTAATATCTTTACCGGTTTCAAAATCAGCTTCACTGCCCCGCAGTGCGTTGATTAAAGTTTCGTAATGTAATCACCGGTTGCAGTCCAGGTATGGAAGACGCTATAAATTTTGCTTCTAGACAAATGTGTGGAACGTGTGAACCAAATGACTCAACATGAGAAATTCTATTAAAGTGAATTATTATTCTATTGTCTAATAGTACTGAATGTTCTATTTTGATTAAAATTAATTGCTATTATAATTTTTGCACCCAACAGTAAACTAAACATAGTAAACAAAATATGAATAATTCAATGAAAGTCAATCAATTGAAAATGTAATCTACAATAGGCGACAAATGGAAGCATTTACTATATATATTGTTTGAATACTTATAGGTATGTAAACATATGAACTAGATTATATACTCGGTGCATATAAACATCAAGTTCATTGTATCGCAGATTAATAATGCAATGCGAAGTATATGGAAGAGAATATAAATTGAAGTATATCGTATATGTACATATGATGTATGCATCTTTTAAGATTTTCTTAGTAAAATAGTGGAAGTCAATATTCATCAGAACAAAGGTCGATAGCTGTACGTTTACAGTATTGCAATTAACTTGACAAGCCCAAACAAAAATCGTTAATTATAAGTGTAAACACAGTAATAGTTCCACTCTAAGTCTTATTAAGAATGCTTGCAATTTACTATTCGATGTTGCATTACTCACGTGTATTCATATTTAATGTGTGACATCAAATTGATTTTTGCATATAATAATAATTAAGTTAAACAAAGTATAAATTAGATGCATTTATATATTAAGAAGCTACGTGTTTTAAATAATTATTATTACTCACAATAATCTTTTCAGTTCCCAAGTGCATGATATGGGTGTATAATGTGATGTGGAATATAAAATTTAAAAAAATTGAGTGGTCACACAATTTTGTGTTTACACTTATAATTACCGTAAAAATTAAAAAAAAAATTAATTAATTTTAAAAACACTTGTTTTTTTAGTGTAAATATGGATATTTAATTTTTATATTAATTGATGCAATACTGTACTTTAAATAATGTACCAGGCATGATAATTGTTTCTATAAAACATTAGTTGCAATATAATATTGATATAATTAAAATAATATATTTTGAAATATTTAATATTCATAAGTTGTTTACATATTGAAAGATTAGTAAGCACACCACAAATTATAAATAAGTTTCCGTTCACCTTTTTTGGTCATACATATAGTAGGTATATGGATATATTAGAAAAACGTTGTGTTATTTTGATTATTTCCAACTAAAATACATTTATAAATACGACAGATAGTTTGCATCTCATTAACAAGTACAAGTATTTGATCTATTGTCTGTAAGTTTTGAGTAATGAGACGTTTACCATATATTATTCTACTCACATGTAATTTCTAGGTGAAGATTTAGCCATATATTGATTGATTAAATACTTTGTAAATCATTTCATATATACCTTCCCGCATTTTAATTAATTTCATTCAATTCATTAATTACATAGAAATCCGCTAAATATCGTATCTACTAGTATATGGAATGTGGTATATGAAAAAATATCAGTTACGAAATTGCAGTTTATATTTGATTGTAAATAGATTAAAGACTTAATATCAGAAGTGTGATTATCACATATCCCACCTAATGGATATGTGACCCAAAATAAAGTTAAAATATAAAATCATTTTAAAAAAGTCGTGATTTTGTTCAGCTTCAGTCGTAGGTGCATTCTATAAAGTTCAAAAGTACGTATAACGACAAGTCAAAGTTATGGAAACAAATCTTAGTTAAATAAATGTAAACTATAATCAGAATTTCTAAATCGTAAAATGCACATCACTGAGTTTTTTGAAAATTATGATCTCAGTTATAAATAATATCTCTCTCTTCAACTATTTCTAGATTAATAGTAAAACTCTCTGGTTATAACTGCTGGTAAATCTGTATTCTTGCTATAGCAACTATGTTGTCATAACTTTCATCATCAAGATGCTTCAGGTGGAGTTTTTTCTGTTGGAACAATTGCTGGATCAACCACAAACGATGATTTTATTTTAAAAACGTAAATAGATTATGTTAAGGAGGTGGACATACTATAAAATGCTTTATTTCTGTATTATCTATCGATTATATTATCAAGGAATTAGCTAACCTCCAATCTCCCCTAGATATACTATTGACTTCTTTGAAACAAATGTGCCAGGGGTTCATAAGGTGTAAAAGACTGGACCAGGTACATTTGCATTGTTTCAGCATGGATATGATCAAAATTTGAAATTTCTCTGGAAAGAT